GTCAGAACATCAGGCCTCTGTGTCACCGTGGTAACAGCACTCACACCTGTAAACAACAACAACAAGACATGAAATAATCAGAGACACAGAGAGTCTCCACATGAGCTGAGGGCCTCCTACATGTGAGAGCAGCGGTCAGGGCGAGCAGGTTCCACAGCATGTTGCCACGGAGATGAGTTGTACAGCTCAGAGCAAAAGTGGAGCTTCGATACACACACGCTCAGGCTTATAAGGCAGAGGGAGAAGAGGAGAGGGAGGGGCCAGAGCTGCCAGTCAAAAGGACGGGTTATAGATGAGACCAAAGAGAGAGAAAAAACTGTCAAATAAAGGCTGCACCTGCTATGAACAATGCAGGAGACACAAGCTGCAATATTTTATACTAATACAACATTTTGAATAACGTGGTCAACTAGAGAGACATCCACACAAAATCCAAACATGTCAGTCGATGCAGTGTAGAAGATAGAAGCATGTGGTACTGCTTAGACTTACTTTAAAAATGCATGAATTGTATTTGACTTTAAATAGCAAGAGAGTGTTAACTACATCAAGTTTTACCTGTTAAAATAGGTAATAGAAAACCAAACAACTTTAATATCACCATCTGTCCTATTCTGCCAGTATTAAGGTACACTTTACTAAGTCAAACAGTGGCCAAACACTTGTTACAAAATTGTAAAACGGTTTTGAGGGTCTTTATTGTGCAAAGTTGTTTTTCAAATGTTAGTAGTAGTAGTTGTTGTTTATTCAGTCATTTTGCAGCACTACAAAACAAAACAAAACAAAACATAGACTACAATCCCATAGATCATGACTGAAAGGGTTTAGGCTGAAGTAAAAAGTACTTATAATGCCTAACCCTATTAAACAATGACAGAATTCCAAGAAAAAAACAGCGAATGAACAGCAAGTTAACATTTACAATTACAATTACAATGTATATATATAAGAGACAAAATATAAATTAAAATGTTCACCTTATTTGTAATGTTTCCTATCAAAATCACATCTGTAGTTGTGTTTTGTTTCTTTCTAAGCATCTCATTTCTTCAGATGTTATAGCTGTTAATTCATTCAAAGTCAGGCTCCTCCCTCAGTTCCTCTGGTTTGGGCCTTATATGAAATCCCCCTCAGCCGCTCCTCTCTTCACTCTCTGAACCTTTCGTCTCTCTGCAGTGAAACCTCATCTCCGTGGCAACATGCTGTGGAACCTGCTCGCCCTGACCGCTGCTCTCACATGTAGGAGGCCCTCAGCTCATGTGGAGACTCTCTGTGTCTCTGATTATTTCATGTCTTGTTGTTGTTGTTGTTTACAGGTGTGAGTGCTGTTACCACGGTGACACAGAGGCCTGATGTTCTGACTGTGAGGAGAGGAGAGACGGCCTCCATGGACTGTAACCTGGGCACAGTCACTGACCAGTCTGCCCGATGGTACAAACAGATTCCTGGTGCAGCTCCTAAATATGTTCTGAAATTTCGTCATGACTTTAGCAATGTAGAATATGGTCCTGGATTTTCAGCTCCTAAATTCACATCTAATCATCAGTCTAAATCAGATTATCGTTTGATCATCAATAATGTGGATGGAGTGGATTCTGCTGTTTATTACTGTAAAACATGGGATGATTCTGCTTAAAGAGTACGTATCACAGTGATACAGAGTGTGACAAAAACCTATGCACTTCACTTCTGCTTTTACTGCTCTGAGATTTGGAGCTCAAACTCAAACCAGACTAAAAGGTGACTGATAAATCACAATGAAAGGATAAAAAATACTAATATTTCAATATTTCCACTGTTGGTTTATACTTTCCCTGGGTAATGGGACACATGTGTTGATTGACAGAGTGGAGTGTGAGAGTGGCGTCCTCCTGATGACAGTGAGGAGGTTTTTGTAGCAGCGTGTGCACAGACTGAAGCACTGTGGTATTTGGACAAGGCACCAAGCTCATTGTGACCGGTAAGTGACTATAACTCATCTTTAAAACTTCTTTTAACCACATTAAAGTCAGGAGATATGTGTTTATACACTGTTAATTTATGGAGGTATTTTCCACTTAACTTAAACATTCTCTTTTTGATCACAATCACAAAATATATTTAAGCTAAAATCATTTTTATTGTTCACATTCAACAAACAAATGTCCATTATTTCTTTGCAGAACAAATTTTCATATTATCACATATATTCACATATTATGAAACATCAGTCTCCTATAACACTGTCACTAATATTTCACTATACTGTTCATATATGCTGCTAATTATATTATGTTTGAGTGTTTAGTTTTGTTTTTTTCTCTCTTTAAAGTCATTTATAACGTGTTACATTTATCATAGTTCTGTATATTTGTTGTGTTTTGCTCTTGTAGTGTTGTGTGTGTGACCTCCTGTGCTGTTGTGTCCTGCAGATGTGGCCCCTGCTCCTGTCCTGACTGTGCTCCCCCCCTCCCTCACACAGCTCCAGTCCAGCAGAGTCTCTCTGCTCTGTGTGTCTCATCAGAGGGGGCCCTTTGCTCAGGTGACCTGGTTGGTTGATGGGACTCCAGTGAACAGTGGGGTCTGGAGCAGCAGCGCTGTGCAACAACCAGACCAGAGCTTCTACATGAGCAGCTCTCTCTGTCCATCAACACGACCGACTGGGGCACCCATAAGGTGTACACATGTAGGGTGTCTGTGGGCACCCACAGCTCAGAGAGGCACATCAGCAAATGCCAGTGTGGAGAAAAGTCTGAGTAGTCCCATCAGTGTACTGATTTTGTACTGATAATACAGTTTGTTTCAAAATGCATCCAATAAAATGATAATTTTAAAAATGACTTTTTTGAAGTTCCTACTATTAGTTGTAACATCCAACTTGTCCTCAGACTTAAAATATTATGAAACTGGTTTCATCGTCCTTCATACTTAAGGTAAATTGTCTCATTTTATATAGCGCTTTTCCACCTTCAAGGCATTCAAAGCACTTTACATTAAGGAACACACACATTCATACACCAGTGTATGCAGAGGTGAGATGGGTCAAGTGTCTTGCCCAAGGACACAACAACAATATTATTTTGTGGGAGCTGGAATTGCATCGCCAATCTGTGGGTCAGTGGATCTGACTGCTCAACCGAAGATGTTTATGACGAGAGTGGGATTCAAACCGCCGACCTTCAGATCAGTGGACAAACACTTTACGCTCCTGTCGCCCACTGTTCGTGCACCTGCAGCTCCACAGAGGCGACCTGAGTTTTATAATGTGACTCATCAGTAAAACTGAATTTTGTGGGTGAGACCTGCAGAGTGTCAAGAACAAACTGCAGACGTCATTATTCAACACAGCACGGCTACAACATGACGGGTTTTATCTACAACATTGAGAGTCCAGAAGTACAGGTGCATTATGGGTGAGAGTAACACTTCATTGATGGTCCATAACCATAATGATCAGTTCTCTCAAATGATTTACATAAAACGTTCCTTTTCAAATCCTGTATTTATTTATAACTCGTGTGAGAGACAGTTTACTCATCAGGTCAGCAGATGTTTCCTCTGTGCAGATTCATTGGTCCAAACTGAAATACTAAACACTGAAAGTAGCCTACACATGTACACTTTTGAAATAATAATTGTGGAAAACAAATGGACCGTTGTTAATTCTTTAATTCATGTTTTTAAAATAACATAATCTAACTTAGATTATGTTATTTTAAAATGCTTATTTTAACAATGTAAACTTATTGTCATAATGAAACATGTGTAAATGTGTACTTGAAATGTTTTGTGTGATTCAAACAAACTAATCTTAGTCATTTTTAAATCTTTCTCAGTTGCTGTTTTCTTTTGAGAGAAAATGTTCTTTATTCTGTCCTGTTTCTATCGACTCTTACTACAGGAAGCACTGACCAATCACAAAGCACCTCTAATCCAGCCTGCTCCTATTTATTCATTGAAAATATAAGTTAACTTTTAGACTGAATTGCATCATACAGCAAAAGTGTTTTATTCTATGTTATTATTTTGGTAACATTTTTACAAAATAATAATACAGGATATTCAGCCCAACCTTGAATGCAACCACTGCAGGAAATGACTGCAAATGCATTAAAACATAGATATTGTTTTTTAAAATAGCTAAATATACAGAACTGCCTGTAGGAGCAAGTGGAACAGTAAACATAAGAGAAAAATTATGCACGATTTTTTTTTTTTTTTACACAGACATTGAAGATTATTTTCTTGAACGTTTTATAAAAACACTGTGGACTTTATTGCCAATATGATCCACACATCTTTGGAGTGTCTTTTGAATGTACCCTACTTTCACCAGTAGAGGGCGCTCGTTTTACTAAAGTGACAGAAAAACTAGAGCGAGAAAAGATCACCACTTTTATATTTCATGCAGAACTTGTCAGATTTTAATATCTTAAACTCTGTCCTTCTTTATTTATTTATTTTATTTATTTATTTATTTATTTGACTGGCGCATTGCACAATACATTTAAAGCAAAGACCTAATTTATCTACAAGCTCATTTTCATTTGCTGAACGATTGTATGTCATAAATCCTTCTATAATTAACAAGGTAGTCAATACAGACGTGGTTGTAATAATATGTTGGGAGGTGGCTGAGTAAGTTCACCATACTTATCATCATCTGTCTCTACTATTACTACTAGAATTACTGTGAGACCGACAGGTGCCTCCTCAAATGGACCAGAGCACAGGGTTCATGCTCAACAGTACACTGACAATGCATGGACATCTTTTTCTGTTCAAGTTTTTAAGTTTATTTGATTTGTTTTACGAGTGATTGGCAGAGGTGAAACCTTTTCTGCCCTCCCACTCTCACCTTTGCTCTCTGGTTTTCTTCTGTCAGTCCAAAGCTGGTACACTGTAAGTCCGCAGTAATATAAATAACATCTAGTGGTGATATGTGAGAATACAACAGAGCTGGGTCAGCTAGTCTAATTAGAAATAGTCCAGGCACATTTGACACAAGGACTCACGGTGAATACTTTTGTAATTTGATTTATTGTAAAGGCAGAACGGTACAACATAGACTTTAGCATGTATGAGAGGACACAGAGGGCCAGGTCCTGGGACTACTCAGACTCTTCTCCACACTGGCATTTGCTGATGTGCCTCTCTGAGCTGTGGGTGCCCACAGACACCCTACATGTGTACACCTTATGGGTGCTCCAGTCGGTCGTGTTGATGGACAGAGAGCTGCTCATGTAGAAGCTCTGGTCTGGTTGTTGCACAGCGCTGCTGCTGCTCCAGACCCCACTGTTCACTGGAGTCCCATCAACCAACCAGGTCACCTGAGCAAAGGGCCCCCTCTGATGAGACACACAGAGCAGAGAGACTCTGCTGGACTGGAGCTGTGTGAGGGAGGGGGGGAGCACAGTCAGGACAGGAGCAGGGGCCACATCTGCAGGACACAACAGCACAGGAAGTCACACACACACACTAACAAGAGCAAAACACAACAAATATACAGAACTATCATGTAAAATTCATTTTATAAAACTCAAATAAGTAGGCCTATAATACATAAAATGAACAATATAGGATCAAATAAAATTTAAAAAAACATGATGACAATGACGATGATTATTTTGCACAGTTGTGTGCGACTGATGCTTAGTAAATATTATGCTACTGAAACAAATAAATGTTCAAAATAAGCCATGAACAACTAAATGTTGAACGCGAACACTTAAACAGTTATAAGTTGTTTAATTTATTTTTTTTTTTTGTTAAATAAAAAAATTAATTAGTTTAACAAATTGTTTTAATGAATATATTTTAAAACACTTAAAATAAATACTTTTTGCAAAGTGTTTCAGGTAGTATATTGTAGTTGTAGAGAGTAAAAAATACCTCCATAAATTATAAAGATATGTATAAATACATTTCTCCTGACTTTAATGTGGTTAAAAGTAGTTTATGATGATGAGTTACAGTCACTTACCGTTCACAATGAGCTTGGTGCCTTGTCCGAATACCACAGTGCTTCAGTCTGTGCACACGCTGCTACAAAAACCTCCTCACTGTCATCAGGAGGACGCCACTCTCACACTCCACTCTGTCAATCAACACATGTGTCCCATTACCCAGGGAAAGTCAAATCTAACAGATCCAACAGTGGAAATATTGAAATCTTACTATTTTTTTCTACTTTAAATGTGATTTGTCAATCACCTTTTAGTCTGGTTTGAGTTTGAGCTCCAAATCTCAAGCAGTAAAAGCAGAAGTGAAGGGCATAGGTTTTTGTCACACTCTGTATCACTGTGATACGCACTCTTTAGCAGAATCATCCCATGTGCTACAGTAATAAACAGCAGAATCCACTCCATCCACATTATTGATGATCAAACGATAATCTGATTTAAAGACTGATGGCTCGGTGTGAATTTAGGAGCTGAAAACCCAGGACCATATTTTGCAGCGAAGCCCCAGCCATATATGACAACAGGTATGGGACTTGTTTCAGGAATCTGTTTGTACCATTCACTAGCATGCTTAGTAACATTGCCCAGGTTACAGTCCATGGAGGCCGTCTCTCCTCTCCTCACAGTCAGAACATCAGGCCTCTGTGTCACCGTGGTAACAGCACTCACACCTGTAAACAACAACAACAACAAGACATGAAATAATCAGAGACACAGAGAGTCTCCACATGAGCTGAGGGCCTCCTACATGTGAGAGCAGCGGTCAGGGCGAGCAGGTTCCACAGCATGTTGCCACGGAGATGAGGTGTACAGCTCAGAGCAAAAGTGGAGCTTCGATACACACACGCTCAGGCTTATAAGGCAGAGGGAGAAGAGGAGAGGGAGGGGCCAGAGCTGCCAGTCAAAAGGACGGGTTATAGATGAGACCAAAGAGAGAGAAAAACTGTCAAATAAGGCTGCACCTGCTATGAACAATGCAGGAGACACAAGCTGCAATATTTTATACTAATACAACATTTTGAATAACGTGGTCAACTAGAGAGACATCCACACAAAATCCAAACATGTCAGTCGATGCAGTGTAGAAGATAGAAGCATGTGGTACTGCTTATGTAGCCCATCTATATATTATTTTGATGAAATGTTATGTAGTATTTTCAATTACAGGCAAGTTTATTAAATTTGATTAATTAATTGTAGCATCAGAGCAGAGGAAATGGTGGTGCAATAGTTGGGGCCGCTATAAAAGTAGGTCAGACACGCCCATCCAGGTTTGTGAGTGGGCCTGCGCTCAGGTGTTGTAGCCCTGCGTGCCTCGCATGTAATGAACCGCTTTGATAAAATAAACGTTGCAAAACGGAACTATTCGCCTGGATTATTTAAGAGTGCAACAGAAATCTTGGTGCCGAAACCCGGGATAAGAGATCGCATTTGGGACAACACTGACGGAGCGGAAAACAGCTGAGTGGAGTTGAAGTTAAGCCACCAGCTGACGAGCTACAAGCGCCGCGGCCCACTCACCTGGACTAAATGCTTTTCACCTCTCGCTAAAAGCATAAAAATAATGTCGATTGCGGGTGAAAAGCATGACCGTGATCTGGGAGGATACACTGGGACAGATCGAGGAGAAACTATTGACTTTACCTGCCGCTGGACTATTTGATCTGTGCACGATGTTGGAGTTCGCTGTAAGCGAAGAAGGACAAGAACTTACCTCGTAAAATGAGAAGGATTATTCTGCAGTATCTGGAAGGAGATGACGTTATTTCTCGGGAGGACGGAGGAATGTCTCTGTTGCTTATAGTTTGCGACCGCATTGATGAACTTAAAACGCAAGCCGCGTCTACTCCGGCGCGGGAGCCCCCTCTGTTCGGATTTACCAGGTACTGCACCTAACACTCAGAATGCGCCTACTGTTTTCAATGGACAACCAACTGCTTCTAATGCGAGCATTCCTGTTTATAATGCCAATCCACCTTTTGTTCACTAGTTGTATAGAAAGGAATTGAAAATTGTGGGGCAAATTGGTGAGTCACACCAGAAGGACAAACTTGGATATACTAGTTTGGAGAGGCAGATTCAAAAAGCTCTAAACAAAGGATACAGTGAGTCTGACATTGTGGAAGCTGTCATTCAGGCCATTGCTCCAGGAATAAAATTAAGAGCTACCTTGAAAGCAGAGTGGACCTACCTCTTAGTGCTTTGAGACAAATTCTGAGGACACATTTTCATTGAAAAGGACTCTACCAAACTGTATCACACTCTCACGAGAGCCGCACAGGATCCCAGAGAGACACCAATACAGTTTGTCCTCAGAGCAATGGACTTAAGGCAGCAGATTTTTGTTTGCATCTGAAAGGGCTTGAGACTGGACTCAAATATAGCTCTGAGCTAATTAAAAACCAATTCCTGCAGACAGTGCTTACGGGTCTGATAGATGATACAATAAGGACTGATTTAAAGCCATACTTACGTGACCCAAAGGTTTCTGAATGAGATGCTGCTGGAAAAGGTGACTGATGCATACACTCTGGAAATGGAAAGAAAAAACAAGCTGGCTTGTAGTTCCAAGGCACGAGCCACCCGAATTGCAGCAGTGGGGGAAGACAATATTAACAATAGAGAGAGGCCCAGCCCTGACACCACCAACTGCAATAAGCTCAGTGAACCCAACAAACGTGAAACTCTCCTGGAAAAAGTGGATCAGGGAAATAAAGCAAATTTGCGAAGCTATTCAACAGCTTTCCACCCAGCTCTCCAGCCTCCACCAAGTGCCAAGACCCCACCACCAGAGAGGCTCAGTCGACCATACGGCAGAAATTTCAGGCCCCAGCAGAAATCGTTTATCTCAAGAAAGTGCCAGCGTTGCCAGGCCAACAACCCCCATGGCAAGTGTGACCACTGTTATAAATGTGGCAGTTCTGATCACTGGGCAATTGGCTGTCGTAAGGTCACACACGTTTCAGCCTCTACTAATAAGATTGACACTACGGTACATCTTGGTAAGACTGATGCCCAGTTTACTCACGATGCCCCTCTCACTAGCAAACAAAGACAAACAGCTAAGCTAGTGGGACGAAGATGCCTGATCAGAGCCTCACTCAATGATGTGGATACCCACAGTGCTATGGGACAGTGGCTCACAAGTATCTATTG